CAGGTTGAGGCTGCGGTGGCCAGGAGTGTGCCACTGCACTCCAGTCTGGGCGACAGAGTGAGACTCCAACTCAGAAATTATTACCATCAATTTCTTTTTACACACACACACACACACACACAGAGAGAGAGAGAGAGAGAGAGAGAGAGAGAGAGAGAGAGAGAGACATGATTAAAGTGGTAGGGTAGTAAAGCCATGGATGGGTGGGTCTAGAACCCTCAAGCTTTGGCTATCACAAAGAGGAACGCCTTTCAATGGCAGAGGGGAGGGGTCTGGTAAAGAGAGTCATTACTTAAAACAGGAGAGGAGGCCAAGGGTAAGGACCAGACAAAGCCTGAGACCACAGGAAAGAGCAGGTGGGCCCAGGCTGGAGAGGACAGGTGTGCAGGAGTGCCCCTCCTTGGTCTGAGTGTGCCCACTGGGGCATCTGCGAGAACATGGGTGTGGATTCAGGATTCAGTGAGTCAGGTGGGGCCTGAGCTGCTGCAAGTCTGACAAGACCCCCTGGTGATCCATAAAGTTTGAGATGGTCAGATGAGCCCTGCTTGTGGTCCAAGGTCCAGCAGCCTCAGCATCACCTGACAGCTTGTTAGAAATGCAGCCACTCAGGCCCCGCCTAGGCCTCCTGAATCAGGAGCTGCATGGTGACGAGATCTCCAGAAGATTCCTAGGCACTTTCACACTTGAGAGGCACTGCTCCAGGTAATCCGAGAAGAAGTCCTCTCCTAGATGGCAGGGAGAATACGGAAGCATTGAAAGGAGAATTCAAAGAGCAAGCCAATGAGTATGTGTGAAAGAATTGACATGTGTCTGCTTCTGAAAGCCCAAAGAGGTCAAAGATCATCTGCAATGATGCCAGATACAAAGATACCAAGTGAGTCTCTCTGCCTCAGTTTGTATATTTGGGCCAAAGCGGTATGTAGGATGCAATGCTTACATTCAGGTGTCCTCATGGAAAAAAAAAAACCTAGATTATTGCTCTCTCTCTCTTGCTGATTGATGAATTTGCAAAACATTATCTCAATTTCTGTGATGGATTCTATTATTAATCTCTGGAGAAACAGAACCAAATACGTATGTGTGAGTGTGTGTGTGTGTGTGTGTGTGTGTGTGTGTGTGTGTGTGTGTGTATGGATAGTGACAGAGAGGGAGGGAGGAGAGGGGGGAGGGAGAGAGATTTATTTTAAGGAATTGGCGTACGTGCTTGTGGCTAGTCCAAGACCTGCAGGATAGGCCAGCAGGTTGGAGCTGCAGAGATGAGCTGATGTTGCAGCTCAAGTTGAAGGCCGTCTCTCAGCAGAGTTCATTCTTGCTGGGAAAGGAAATCTGTTGTTCTATGCAGGCCTTCAACTGATTGGACGAGGCCCACCCACATCAGAGAGGACAATCTGCTTTACTCAGAGTCCACCAATTGAAATGTGCATCTCATACAAAAACACTCTCACAGAAACATACAGAATAATATTTGGGCAAACTTCGGCACCGTGGCCCAGCCAAACCGACACATGAAATTCACCATCACAAACTCAGATCTTCCTGAGGCTTCTAGGTCATAGTTGTCACTGGGAGGGATTGTAGGTAAGTATTCTAGAAATAATTGCTACCCTCTTATTGAAAATTCCAGAAAAAGAAAATTCTGTAACATTCTCTGCTTTAGGGCTGTGCATAGTGGCTCACACCTGTAATCCCAGCATTTTGGGAGGCTGAGGTGGAAGGATTGCTTGAGCCCAGGAGTTTAAAATCAGCTTGGGCAACACAGCGAGACCTCATCTCTACAAAAAAATTAAAAATAAACTGAATGGGGTGGCATGTGCCTGTAGTCCCAGCTACCCAAGAGGCTGAGGCAGAAAGATCGCCTAAGCCCAGGAGGTCGAGGCTATGATAAGCTGTGATCATGCTCCTGCACTTCAGCCTGGACAACAGAGTGAGTGAGAACTCAACTCAAAAAAAAAATTATCTATTTTATTAGGACAGTAAAATGAGGTAAAATCAAAGCTCTGTTTCCAGCTTTCTGCTTACCAAAGTTACTTACATTTTGTCCAAATCAAACCTTAAGAGCAAGTTCGGACTACTGATTCTATCAAAACCTTGTCAATTCCCTTGAAATGTGACCTCCCTCCTGGGCCAGCCAACCTCACCCTGCCAGCCATTGGATAGTGACCAATGTCCTCACTGCACGTTCCCCTGTCAGGTTTATGCAGGGTGTGAATATCCAGGGTGAGCACTCCTCTGACATCTGTTATACCAGCACTTAGCTGTCCGAATGGATTTTCTCTTCTTCAAAGTAATACTTTATTCTAATGCTGCTGCAATCGCTTGAAACATTTTTGAAATTCTTTAGAATCTCCCTTCAGAAACCGACGCACACGTCCTTTTGAATTTCTTCCACAGAAGCACAACTTTGCTTTGAGGATAGACTGGATGTTTGAAACAGTAAAAAGATGGTTGAGCTGATGAAGAAGGTAAGTGATCAAGACGGGCAATTGTTATCGTTTAAACAAAATTCAAACTGTGGTCATCAGGTAATGAGGAAAAACAGACCACCTCATTCTGTAAATAGTTTCTGGACTTGTATTCTTGTTGGAATATATGAAGGTCGTCGAGAGCATAGGTAAGTCAATCACTCAGATCAATCAATCCTTACATATGTATTTTAAAACTAAATTTTATAGTTACACATCACTGATTTTTATCTCCAAGACTGGATCATAAACATCTTAGGTGCTTTTCTTTTTGAGTTTGTCTCACGGCACTTATTTTATTGGTCTTATTAGCATGTCCATCTGTCTTTTTTTTGAGTCAAAGTCTCACTCTGTTGTCCAGGTTGGAGTAAGTGGCCCAATCAAGGCCACTGCAGCCTCAACCAGCTGGGCTCAGGCGAGTCTTCTACCTCAGTCTTCCAAGTGGCTGAAACTACAGGTGTGAGCCACCATGCCTGGTTAATTTTATGATTTATTGTAGAGATGAGGTCTCACCATGTTGCTCAGGTTAGTCTCGAACCCCTGAGCTCAGGCAATTCTCTCACCTCCGCCTCCCAAAGTGCCGGGATTACAGGTGTGAGCTACCACACCTGGCACGTATGTCTCTTTTTTTAAAAAATAAGAATCTCACTCTGTTGCCCAGGTTGGAGCACAATAGAATGCTCACAGACACCCCAACGTCGACATGCTGGGCTCTGGCGGTCCTTCCACCTCAGCCTTCCACGTAGCCAGAACGACAGATGTGCGCTACCATGCCTGGCTAATTTCTTGATTTATTGTAGCGACAAGGTCTCATCAAGTTGCCCAGGCTGGTCTCGAATCCACAGGCTCAGGCAACCCACTCACCTCAGCCTTCCGAAGTGCTGGGATTATAGGCTGAGCCACTGAGCCCAGCCAGCGTCTGTCTTCTAAGACTGTATGCTTTTTGAGAGCAGGGACTGTGTTGAGGCACCTTTACATGCCGGCATCCACCTGGTAAATACCTACGACATGTGATAGGCACTCAAGCTTGTGTGTTAAATGAATGAAAATGAATTGAACAAATGGATGGCTTGGTTGGGTCATTCTTCGCCTACAGATTCTATTGATCTTACACTGCTAAACTAAAATATCTGCATCGGGCCACATTTATGCCCAGAGTGAGGGTTCCTAGACTTTGCACCATTTTAAAGAGTGCTCAATATCACTTCTTTGTGATATTTGCTAATGAAAGACACTAGCACCGTGTATATTTCTTATAGGCAGTCAAGAAAATGTTGCTAAGTGAATAAATGAATGAATTCATGTGATTTAGAGTCTACCAAAAAGAAGTTTTTAATGATGAAAGAAACCTCGCAGATCTTTAGCTCATCCCTGGGGTGATAAAGATTTTTTTTTTTCCTCCCTCAATTCTGCTACTTAAAAAAATCTTCTTTGTCAATTTTGTGAATAAAGTTTCTATTACCTTTGGGAAGCATGTCATATTTGCTATCCACCTAAGAGTTGTTTGCACTGGTGTAAAACTTATTGTTCATATTCTTCATTTTCTACTGAGTTGAATAATAAGTGTTTATTCCCCTCTGTTATTAAGTAGTATTCCCTTTCTCCTTTCTGAAAGATCAGTATCAAATTTTGTTTCCTTTCTCCAAATACTTCATAGTCCTGTTCTTTAAAAGGCTCCTCTTGAGAAAGTGGCTGTGAAAACCACAATTCTTATTGTAATTCAGTAAGTTGCAAGGCAAATATACCACCCACAAACCACAATGGAAAGATCACACACCCCCTTGATCACACATTTAATCAATTCTAGGTTGAATACTATGTTTTAATTGCACAAACGTAGTACATTTCAAATATAAATGGAAGGAGCATCCGTTGTGTTATCAAAATGTATAATACAGGAACTCATTTTTTAGAAAGGACAGAAAAATTACACTCAGGACCCATAAGTCCTCATGATAGCATATGTAGTGATTCATTCATGCAGGTTTTTATATGCAGATGGGATGATTTTTTTTTCCTTTGAAGAGTTCCATTGTCGCTGCGAGATGAAAAACGTATTGATGTAACAATGTATTATGGTAATGGTATAGCTTTTTTCTATTTTGCTTTTAGTGCTAGGATGGCTAAAAGCTTATTTGAAATTCCCAGCTGACATAATGTACTTTCAAAAAGGACACTGCCATTACCCTTCCCTGTCATTGTTGGATACCACATCACCTGGCCTCATTCTACACAGGTCACTTTGTTTCGTGGGAGGCCAAGGGAGTTCAAACCTCAGGCAGGGGGCAGGGTTACCCTCCCTGCAGCCCATCCAGTCCTCCTGTGAACCTCACCTTGCATGTTTCTTGTAGGTTTCACAGAGGCAGGAAGGAAAACACACCTGCCTTCCAATGAAAGAAACCTTGCAAACAGCCAGGTTTGCAAGAGAGCAGCACTGTTAACCCCACGCTGTCCGGGTTCGGCGTCAAACAAGAATGTCCCAAGCAGAGGGCCAAACCCTGGCTTATCAACACCAAGTCAGATAGCTCAGCCTAAGGCTGCCGGGAAAACTCCCAGGGCACTGAGGAAAACATTCAGGGTGGCAGGAATCTGTGGCTCCTTCTACCTCTTTGAAGAAGGGTTCAAAGTAGAGAATATCCCTCCAATCCCCCATAACATGGGGCCAAGGCCCTTCCATCCCGGGAACCACAATCTCTAAGTGAGTCGGCAGCACTGGGCCTGCCAGGGCATCGCGCCCGTGGATGTGGGGGAGAGAAGACTCCCATGGAAGCCAGGGGGGAGCCAGGGATGGACGAGCGGGTGGAGGTACCTGCCTGCCACCTCTTCTCGCCGCACCCCACCCCACCTCCCACAGGCTGGCACGGCCAGAGCATGGGAGTCGCTGCTAGAATATTCAGTCCCATCAGATAAATTGGTTGGGAGTCTCTTCAGATTCCAAAACACTTGGAAATGGTAATTCTGCCAAAAGAGGCTCTGTCAGTGATGATCAGGGTGACAGATTGCAGTTAAAAACGTCGTCTATTGAACCTAAAAAACAGTAAACAAGGCATACGTTATTAACATCGCTGTAGAGAAAATAAAAACAGACCAACATGCCTCTCAAACAGATACAACATGATTGTCTCAGTCATTAACAGAGAATCCAGGCTTCCTCAGAAAAACTCAAAAGGCCAAACAGGAAAGGGTTGCTTTTTCTCTGTCGGTGGAGCATGGCTGTCACTTGCTCTCCTGTGGGCTGGAGTGGTTTTTGGGGGGTCCTCACTCAAGAGCAGAAGGTCCACATTGGTGAATAGCTGAGGACAGAGGCCAGATTGTATTGGGGACGAGACTGGGTTTGAAGCTTGGTGACCCCAGTCTCCGCCTGCGTGACAGGCAGCAGGTGCGTCTTGGCTGTGCCATCTGCAGGGCATGGCGGCTTCCAGGAAGGATCCTGCCCTCCTGCTCTGAGCTGAGTGGTCCCAGGGCTGGTATAGAGTAAACTTTCCAGGAAGCTCTGCCCAATCTCACATGCTCCTCGGGGTCCCACAGATGGGGTGGAACCCTGGGGCAGCTGACACGACAGAGGCTGAGCGCATGGAACAGGAAAACCCCTCAGGCTGCTGCGGCCAGTGGGTAAGGTGAATGCTGTCAGAAGAAGGACAGGGCACGGGTGATCCTGCCACAACAGGGCGAGTTAATCACCCCTCAAAAGGATCAGCGAACAATCCGCCGTGTGCCTGCCATGGAGCAGAGTGCAAGGACATCTTTGTGAGAAACCCCCAGGCAGAGACAGTTAAAGCAATGTGGAGAGAGAGGGAGACCACCAGAGAGACCGTAAGAGAGAGAGAGGGAAGAAGGGAGAGAGGGAGAGAGACAGAGAGAAGAAGAAGAAGAGAGGGAGGGAGTGAGGGAAAGAGAGAGGGGGGAAGAGATGGATGACAGCAAGAGAGATGGGGGAGAGGGAGAGGAAGAGATAAAGTGAAAGAGGGATGGAGAGAGAGACAGAGGCGGAGGGAGAGAGACACAGATACAGAGGGAGGGAGAAGGGGAGAGAGGCGGAGACAGAAATAGTTGGAGACAGAGATGAAGAGGGGAGGAGATAGAGAGATAAAGAAGGAGAAGGGGAGAGAGAGACAAAGACGGGGAGAGAGAAAGAGACAGAGTGATGGAGACAGGCAGACAGGCAGGGGGAGACCGAGAGAGTGAAGGATGGAAGGAGGGGGAGGGGGGAGAGAGAGAGAGAGAGAGAGACCACTCCAGGATGGGAAATAGCTAGGAGTCAGCATATTTTGCTATCCACATTGAAGGAAGCACCTGCCACTAAATACAACTAATGGAGCCCATTTGACATCTGAACTGCAAGGACACTGCGGCTTTGTGGACTGCTGGTTTTCCGCAATGAGCAGCGAAAGAGTCCTGATTCAAGGAGGCAGCTCGCTAGCCCAGAAAAAAAAAAATGAGTCGGAAGAGCCGTCAGGAGACAGGTCCGGACAAGCCGTGATGGGCATCACCTGTCTCAGGCACATGGGTGTCCAAATCAATAACTTACCCTGTGCCTCTTAGAATTTGCTGAATGGAACCTACTCAAGAGTTATTCTTCTGTGGTCTGACCAAATCTAGAAGAAGAACCCTTCCAAGTGCTGTCAGAGATATATATGTATCTCCCAACCATGTAGACTCTGTCTCCCAAATGATCATTTTCATTAGCATTCTGTTGTTCAGAGTATGGACATCAGGAAGGCAGGATTCTCTCATAAGAGTTACATGACTGCCCATTATATTTAAATGAGCATGAATAATTGATAGCAATTAAGTTAACCGATACTTGATTAAATCAATTCATTCATTTAAATTGATGATGCTCTTTAAGTTATTTTCTGGATATACTGCACAATACAAGGGGGACCCCAAAAAACCCGGAATTATCTTTTCTTTGGTGGGCAGGCCCCTTGTAGTACACTCAGATTTTGTCCCTCTGGATCAAACTGTTAGCCAGAGTTTTTATCTGGAAGTTTTGAGAAGGTTGCGTCATGATTTGTGGAAGAAACACCCTGAGTCGCCGCCAACAGGTGACTGGTTCTTCCACCATGACAGCACACCTGCCCACACCAAGTGGAGCATTCAGCAGTTTTGACCAAAAAAACGGCATGATCCCCATGCCCCACCCTCCCTATTCATCTGATCTTCCCCCGAGCAACTTTTTTTTGTTTCCCTGGATGAAAAAAGTCCTCAGAGGGAAACGTTTTGTCGATGTGGAAGTGGTGAAACAAAAAATGGCAGAAGCAGTAAAAGGCATCCAATCTGACGGGTTCAAAGACTGTTCTGAGCAGTGGGAAAAGCATCTCAATTAGGTGCGTTGCATCAAACGGAGAGTACTCTGAAGGTGACAAAAGTTTAAGCATGTAAGAATATATACACTTTTTATAAATTCTGGGTTTTTGGGGTCCCTCCTCATATACCTGCTATTTCAGAAAACTTGAAGGAGCCTAAAAGGAAAAGCCACTGAATTTCTTCTGGGTAGCAGACATTTCTCACTTCTTCCTGAATTATGTAGTATTCAATTTCCCTCTTATCAATAGGTCTTGCCTCTTCAATCAGTTGGCTCTCTCCCCCATTACATTATCCTACACTTTTACTTAACCACCTCCCACGCGTCTTTGAGAGCTTGAAACATACCTCTGGAAGTTACACTGAATTTTCGGTCAGAGAAACTGCTCCTTCGGATTAAAGGTTCACTCATTTTTTCCAGAAATAACTTAATTGTCTCCTTCTTTTCCGGGCTTGTACTTGACAAATTCAGAACTTTTCCGCTTACTTTTACAGTGGAATTGCTGAGCCCAAACCAATAAAAGAAATCGAATAATGCGTCAGCCTTGAATTCATACGCAAAGCTCAAATTTTCTGCGTTAACCACCTCATTTCCTGGAGGGAAAAAATTCTTCACTGCCTCTTGAAAATCAAACTGAGAGAGAGAAAGAGAGAAAGATTTAATTGGCTTCATGGACGTAACTATCATGGCCCCATTATAGAATTAACAACTGCCCAAAATCCAAAACATCACACCCCCTATTTCCCTTGTATTCTGACATATTTTTCAACTGTTGTCTTGATTATTTTTTAACAGATCTTTGCATTTGTATCGTATGACAATTTTGAACTCCTCGGCCAAAGTTACATTTATCCTTACCCCCTTTCTGATAAGTTGCTAAGAACTAAGTTCATTTTATTGGTAGCAACAATGCTACACTAGAGAATAAGGTGTCTGCATACAGTTAAGAGAAGTTTCCAAAGGCCTCAGTTCCTGCGTGAAATGCACAGGCCTTTCTAGGTGGATGGCAGGCCTCGGTCCAGACAGGCTAAGGCTTACCTGAAGCCGGTAACTTTCCCCAATCACTGAGGAGATGACCATGTCCATCCCTTGCTCTATCTGTCTTCTGATCTTGGGGTGCCTTGTGTTCACAAGAAACGCATATGTCCTTTCTAGGAATCAGCAAATAGAATTCAGAAAGAAGTGTGTCCATGTGACATCAACATGCTTCTCAGGATTGACCAAAGCAGTGGTTCCCACCCTCTTTATTCATGTATAGCTTTCCTTGTGGCCCCCTGAGACCCTTACTCCAAAGCCCAACCAGAATTCTAGAAATGTTCCCGAGAAATGTATAGGCCTGAGGGGAAGCTCTGGGCCCTCATAAAAGCATGTTGGATAGTCGGTTCCCCTAAGGTTGCAGTTTGTCACTTGAGGCTTGGAAATTAAAAGTTCCACTCCACAATTAGCTCAGAGGAAAACGGGGCCCTTGCGGCCTACTTCCGGCATGGGGAAAGAAAGTAAAAAATCAAGATGGCTGGTTTACCGATCCCTTCATCACTGAATATTTAAACCGTAGCTTGGCTCTGGCCAACATTTCCTCATTTGCAAAGCAGAAAAGCAGCAAAGTGCAGGAAAGGGGGCTCCCCTTGCCCTCTCCCCGAACCACCGGTCCCCTGCACCCAATTCCAGCCTCTCCAGAGACCAGTTATTCTTTCTGCCAAGTGGCTAGTCTAAGGTTCTTGTTTTCAATTTTTTTTTTTATTATAGAGATGCAGGGTACAAGTAAGGATTACCTACACAAGTAGGCTGCCTACAGATGAAGTCAGGGCCTCCAACGGGCCCTTACTTTCCCTGGTTTGGGACCAGGCATGCTTTGTGTTGTTACATGCCCCGCTCCCCTCCCCTGGAGGGGCCCAGTGACTGCTCATCCCTCTCTTGCTCTAATGTGATTAATACTCAGATCCCATTTATGAGCGAGAATGGGCTAGGACTCTAAGGATTAGGGCAATCTGAGGTTGGTCCCCCAGCCCCCAACACAAGCCCTGGTGGGGAAAAAAATGCACCTCCCGTTGTTGAAATAAGACCACGCCTCTGTCCTGATAGATGGCTGTTCTTGTTTGTTTTATTTTGCTTGGTAACTCAAATTCTGCCTAATTTAAGAGAAGGGAAGGATGTTTACTCATTAGGAAATATGAAATATTATTAACAAGCAATTGCTTCACTTTTCCCGGCCCCAGCAACAAGCTCCATGGCCTTCATCACTAAGCACTTGGTCTAGGGAGACTCAGAGATCCCTGTGTCTCCACTGTGTACGGGTCAGGGAGCAGTATGGTACGATTTTGAGAACGGAACATCTTACACTGGCTTTGGGATATCTCAGAGCCAAACCTGTGGTCCACCAACAGCACATTTACGTCCTTGAGGAAGGCATTTTAGATTAACCTTATTGTCTTAATTTTTTTCTCTGTTTTCCATTCTCCCAGATTAGTTTTTGGGTGCTTTAGATATAAACTATCTTATATATTCTTTGAGACAAGCAATACATAAACAAATAAAGCAAACAGGCTCCTTGAATTAAATTTCACATAAACCAAACCAAGACCCTTTGACTCATCAAATCCTCAGGTCCACCAAGCTGGTGGGGCAGGTTGGGCACTGTACAACTCGGGAGGATGTCATTCACATTTACAGGCATTGTCTATTTGTATATTGATTATGAAAGACTTCTGAGAAGCATTAGTCATTGTCTTGAAATGGTGGCTTTGTCTAATTTGCACAAAAGTTCAGTTTAGAATCGCAGCAGGGCTGACCCTACTGCCTTAATCACAATTTCACAATTTTAAATTGGTCATCTTAAGCTTCTAAGAACCTCTTTGTTTCATGGTTTTTAATCATGATTGATCAGTATTGGGCTTCTGCACCTCCTTGCACAATAGTTGTCAAACCATTGCATACATTCTGTAAGCTACCCACAAATTTCTCCCTGTCCTTTCATTAAAATGTTAGAAAGGACAGGTCTCTTATTCTGTCCTTAGATTCCTCCTGAGGGATCGGCACAGAAGGTGTACTTGATACGGCTGTGAATTACACTCCTGGAGAACTCTCTGGTTTTCTAGCCATCATCAAGCCCAAGAACATGCTGGTCTCAGATACTCTAATGAGCTCTGCTTGTTTCCGTGTGCTCTGTCCCTGGCCTCTCCTGCAGACAGAGCATCTTGAGTTGTTTTTTTTTTGATGGAATGCACAGAGAGAGCTCTACAAATCAGATTGCGGGTGAATGTTTGAGAAAGTCTCTTTGAAATTTGTAGATCACTCCTTGTTACCTGGAACTCATTTCAAGAATGTTATTTAGAAGCATGTTTCAGAAATGCTGCTTCTATTATACAACACTGTGCCCATGATTTTGCCCACATATCACTCTGAGCAAGGAGAGGAAGGAAAAATGAAGACATTTTCATACTAGAATTTGGGCTAAGATAGTTACTACCCACTAGTCTGATTTCTTGGAAGAAACAGTACAGAGACGTGTCAAAACATTAAACATAAAAGTGTCGACAACTGCTATGCCTTTATCTTAGTTTCCTCATCTGTAAAATGGGGAGAGTATTAGCACCTTAAAATCATGTACCCCAGTTTGCCTGAGTCAGCCCCGGTGTATACCTTCACCCCAGAATAATTATTAACAGTGAAGACGTTCGTGTTAAAAATCCACTTGCTGCTTGGGAGACGTAAGCCCTACGGGGCGGTTATGCCCATTCTTGACATTAAAACACACCTTAAACACAACAAATGCCTGAGACGTGGTAGAGAATATTCCAGATCATCCTTACCACTCCAGTCATTTCTGTAACCTTGGGGACTCAAAGTGTCGGATCACTTCCTGTCTAGCCAGGAAGTAGGAAAGAGGCTCTGAGACAGGTGTTCTGGGCCCTGGGATGATGGAGAAATTTGTTCTACAGGCTCGTGCTGTGCTTTCAGTGGTCTCATACACCAGGATCCTTGCCTCTGGTCTTGTCAAGAGCTGGCATCTCTCACAGCCCAGCAAGGCAGACCCAACCAAAAACTTTTAGGTACCTACCTTTGGAGGTGTCTTTTTTGGTCTGTACATTAATAAAGAACAGCATTGGTTTGCTCAGTATGGTTTCCCTGTAGTCTTTATAATCACAGTAGTTGGTCAGTTCCACATACCTATGAAAAAGCAGAAAGAAAGGCAAATATAATGCCCATTTCCATCTAAGTCAGGAAGTGGAGGTACCAGGCAGGTGTCTGCCACAGGCACAGACCTTTGAGGGAAGTACCCTAAAACGTGTTCTTACAGAGGTCTCCATATTTTGTACCATATGCATAAATCTTCTCCTGGCCACAATTGATGGGCTAAGGTGGCCATGGTTCTTGGGGTGGTCTGGCATCAATGTATAACTGTCAGGGGCAGCTTTCACCAGATGATCACCATCACCATCTATCATTTGGGCTATAAGAGTTCATTTGAAGCCATAAGAGCTCTAAGTCCCTCTGGACTGAGAATGAATTATGCTCAGAACATGGAATTAGCTGGGTTTTCTCTAGTGGGGTAGCCATGCTGTCTAACTGGTGGGTCTGGAATTTTCCTTTCCTTCTCTTCTCTTCCCCTCTCTGATCCCAAGATAAGGCCCCTCCATAGATGATAACAATTCACCAATATTCATACGAACTATATGACGAATTCACATCTCCTGATCTTGAGCTTGTGCAATTAAAAAACAAAACAAAACGCTAATATTGGGACTTTGGGCCATATCCTTGTTAAATTTAGCCTCCCTTGTTTTTGTTCATTATCCCAGCCCAGGAAGATCTTTCTGGATCTTGACTCTGTCATTCAGCCTATATTCCTTTTCTCACCCTGCCACACAAATCTTTCAGGCAGCTTTTCTGGGTCCCCACCCACATGGTTGATTAAAAAGATCAAGTGCAAGTGAGCTTCCTTCTGGAAGATGGCTAATTTTCTAACTAAACCCAAGCCCCCGTACTGAGCACCTGCACGGAGCCAATGGCTGGCTGAGCTGACTGGACCTTTGTTTCTTGCATCTAGTCCCCAGCAGAGACAGCTCCAGGCGATTCTTTCCAGCCGGTTGTCCTTCCAGTGTCTGACATGAAAATCACAGCCTTGGAGAGCAAACGGCCGCCGCAGGGAGCTGTGGCCGCAGTCCTCTGGGCGTCGCTCCTGTACCCGTTTCCCGCCACCACCGTGCAGGGCCCAGCGCACAAGACAGTGACCCGGGCAGGAGTCAAGAGCACGTGGGAGAATACCTACCCTGAGGCAGGAGAGCACAGCTGCCGCCGGCAGTCTCCCAGCTTGGCTTCTTAGAAATCTGTGTCATTATCTTTTTGCTGGGATTGTCAGACCTGATTCTGAGAGCTTTTAAAACCTGACCCCTGATGGCGCCTCTCAAATGCTTCCTGCCTTCTATGTCACCAGGCTTTTAAAGCAGTCTCTGCCTCCCACCCCGGTTGCACGGGCGGTGGCTTGGGAGCTGGCCCTAAGGTGGGAAACTGAAGTGTGCCAGAGACGGAAAGGGGTGCAGGTGTTGGTGCTCAGAGTGGGGGTGACCGGGCGGAGGAAGCGAGAGGAGGGGGGGTGGGTATGCAGCAGGG